GATACGCACAATTCTAAAAACTTAATTCTAAATAATTAAAAATAAATAAATTTACAGCTTGAAAATATTTCATGCACGATTAAAATCGTAACGGTACTGGGTTTGGTCTACAGGAGTTCGTGTTTCGTACAGGTCATTCCATTCATTAAAAAAAAAGCTTTCATATTTCTGGTAATACAGGAAAAGCAAACATAGAACAAAATCAATGTTTATTTTTTTTTTCTAAGGCAGGAAAATAATAATTTAGGAATGTGCACGGCGTCCTAGCAAATTATATTATTTTATCAATCGGTATTGGGGTGAAAATTCAAAAATGACAAGTTAATTTACCAATTATAACAGGACCAATTACAACAATTCAATATACAAATTAAAAACAAAATAAAATAATTAAGTCAGCTGATATCGCGGTCATTGGCCAGTTATGAAAGTAATTTGGAACGTACTAAGTATTCGGTAGGATAACACGTCAGGTAGGGCAAAACATTACTCCCATGATTACAATTAAAAATAAAATAACAGTTGCACAAACAAACTGTATATCCAACCGTAAACGTCATAACAAAGTCTTAAAATATCTCGTAACCCACCTCCCCCCCCCCGCCCCCGAAACAGACTGATCACCAAATAAAAATAGGATTGTTTCTCAGATGTTGTTAAGATAATGTTTCTGTTTGTTTTTGTTGTTGTTGTTGTTTTTTTTTTTTATTATTTCAGATGCTAGCCATTGGCATCCAACCGGATCCAGGTAAGTTTCTTTTATTTGCTAAAATTAATATAAGCCTGTGCGTAAACGAGGGCGTCAGTATACCATTCTGTAAGAGAATAATAATTTCTAATAATTTCCAATTGCTCACTATTTGTTGTGACGACGACTTCTTCGTTACTTGTCAAATTCAGAGATTGTAGATCGCATCCGCTGGAATGCTGTCGCTTTTGTGTATGCTTTATAGGGGTAGGCAGGATCCGATTTTTTTTCCCGTACGAAATATTTGCATGATTTGCATGGAAGTCCACTCGAGCCGTCTCGACTGACTCTACTTAAGAATCTCATGGCAGAATTCAGGAGGTCAAAATATCATCAACCAAGATGAACGTCTACAAAACTAAGATAGTGTTGCTGTCTTAATTAACAAAATACATTGATGTTACCATGCTAATAACTAATGCTGATGGGCCGTTTAAAATGACCAGGGAACAGTGAAATTACAATTTTAATTTCACTGTTCCCTGAAATGACAAATGTAATATTTGATTGAGTTGCACGAGTAATAAACATTTATATTTTTTAAGTGATGCCTAGGTTTTTGATGATTAAGTACCTATGCTTAGAACTACTAACAATTATACACTGTTTTGCTCTCGAGCAAAGTAAAGTTGGTTGCGCTCTTGAATCGACAGAGCTGACAGCCGAAACTAGAAGCTTGGGAAATTATGATGTTTATGCTTATGTTACTGTGAAAAACCAGAGATAACCAATAATCTGCCAAAGAGTGAGTGTAGCTTGTAACGTTTAGTTACCATGGGAAATTATAAGATGATGCTAGTATAACAGCTAAATGGGCATAGATGCCATGATAATATTCATATTAAACCTTGTTATATAACTATGAAATTTTTTTTATTAATCAGATAAACTATCTGGTAATCTATTATTAAATAAATCTTATATAAAATTCAAAATAAATAATTTATGAAGCTTAAATGTCTAAAACATTAAGTTTTTTAAATGAAAGTAGAGAATGAGCCCTGAATCTACGAAAAGTAATGGCACACATTTTTAAAGTTATTAATAAAGGTTTTAAATGCACTCCGTATAGGTGCCGCCCCATGCATCAATACCAAAATCAAGTTGGGTAAAAAGAATGTAAAGCAAAACCAATTTTTCCTCAGGGACGCAGTGCCTTAACTTAAATAAATACCAGCTCTCTTTTTTATTTTATTTAATCAGATATATGTTTACAGTTAACAGAATTACATTCAAAAATTAAGCTTGTATCAATTTTAATGGAATCAAACGTTTAACAACTTTATTTTTTGACTGTAATTAGTTTTATAGGCATTTATTGTTAACATATTGGCGTTGCACTGATAAGTGATTTTTTTAAACTGACAATTAATCTCATTGAGGTCTAATATTTTTCCGGAAAATGATTCAAATACGTTTGTATCGTCGGCAAACAACCTAAAAAGATGATGAGCTTGGTAAATCATTTTCATAAATTGAAAACATAATTACTCACAGCACTGATCCACGTAGAACACCACAATGGATATATAAAAACCGAAAGGTCCACTGATTAATCTCAGATAAGAAAGTATAATACATACTCCAAGTGTAAAGTATTGAAATACAAGCCATCGTGTTGGGATTTAATATTTCGACATTATATATGTCATCATTCCTGTTGATGACATAATTAATGTCGAAATATTGAATCCCAACACGATGGCGTGTATTTCAATACTTGGAGTATGTATTATACTTTCTTATAGATATATAATTTATTTGAAACACACCCACCAGAGGAAACAAACTGAAACCTGTTTACGAGATAATCAGAAATCCAAAATAAAGGTAAACCCCTTACCCCACAATGCTGTAACTTTGAAATTAAAATAATATGAGGCATGTCGTGGCGAAATGGTTAAGTTCTCGCACAGTCCAGTATTGAGTAGATGAGCTATAAAATATGGGAGCTCTAAAAATTCAAATTTGTTTTTCACTATAGATCAACAGTTTAATGTCTTGTTAATCATGTCCCAAAGCATTAGTTCTGAAAGTGGTCAACAAATTGTTTATTTAACGTTATTTTGGTAGTTCATTCTATTAAACAATGTATGCACAAATAACTTTCAAATCATGTTTATTTTGGCTATAAAGAGTGCTGTACGTTCACTTTCAAATAGCTTAAGCTTGAAATGTCCAATTTGAATGAATAACCCCTCATAATAAAGATCACATACTCAGGTATCTGAAAATACCAATAACTTGAATTTCAATTTTTGCTACAACTTTTTGCCACAACATGCCTCATATGATTAATTGTATCAAATGCTTTCTTAAATTCAACAAAAACATACCAAGGGCCACTTTTGAATTATAACATTGAAATAAAAGATTTTTGACTAAGGATAAGGATATTTTTGTGCTGTACTTTTTACCAAACCCATATTGATGCTTTTCCAAGCAAATTAGTTAAACGATCATTAAATAAGTTTTCAAGAACTTTTGATAATACCGGTAATATAGCAATGGGACGATAGTTTCCTATATTATCCTTTTGACCTTTTTAACTACAGCAACTACACGTGCAATCTTTAAGGCGGTTATGAAAGGTTAAACACACAACATAATGGTATTGAGATATAGGGTGCAGCAACACATAATAATTTAGCTGGTAAATTGTCTTAGCTAGTTGCTTTGCCTTTATCTAAATTAGAGATCATATTAAAAATTTCATACACAGAGATTGGTTCAAGAAAAAATGAAATTAAATTAGGTTGACTTAAATAATTTGAAAAATCTTTCAATGAATTTCTTATTTTGTTAGCTAGATTTGAACCTATATTTGTAAAGTAATAATTAAATTCATTCACTATTTAATTTGTATTAGTAACGTCTTCTATGCAATTTTCATTTCTTTTAATAGACATTTTGTTTGGTAAATCAATTTTTTTGGTGTTATGTCCAAGTAGCTGGTAGAGGCTAGAAAAGTAACTTGTTTTGCCAATCGTAAAATTCGTTGTGTTTTATGTTGTGTAAATGTGGTAGACTCATATTTGGATTTAACAACTTTTGAGAATAATTTATGTTTTTTATTAATGGTTTCTTTTTTCATGAAACCTTTTAAAGAGAATTTGGGAGAATTGAACTTAAACGCTTACTGAATTCAGCAGGAGTGACGGTGATGCTGTTGTCAGAATAAAAAATAGGTTAGAAAAGTAACCTGTTTTGCCAATCGTAAAATTTGTGTTAAAATATTTATATATTTTTTATGTTGTGTAAATTTGGTAGACTCATATTTGAATTTAACAACTTTTGAGAATAATTTGTTTTTTATTAATGGTTTCTTTTTTTATGAAACATTTTAAAGAGAATTTGGGAGAATTGAACTTAAACGCTCACTGAATTCGGCAGAAGTGACGGTGATGCTGTTGTCAGAATTTTAAAAAAATATCATGTCATCTTCCGTTAAATTTGAATTATCTTGCATAAATATTTAAGGAAACAAATAAAGAGACCACCTTTTTTAATGAAGGGGAAAAATTGATGCCTTAAGTAAATTAGAATAAAATAAATAAACAAATGTAAACAATTGCATATACCTATGTTTAACATAATTGGCATGTCAGTAACTCAGCCAAAAAACATATATAAAAAATAAACAACAAGTTTCATTATTAAAGTTATGTTAAACTATATGGTACGACGAATGTTATTAACTAACCTTAAATGTAGAGGTTCCAATCCCGGAATACGGGCCTCTTTTTCTCTTTGTATGCCTTAGCCATAACATCCCTTAAGCCTCGCTTTTTCACCAAATCCGCTTCAGGAAGACCCTCGGTTACAAAAATATTACTGTTTTTGAGTAAAGTATTCGCTTTAATGTACACTTGGAATCGCTTAGGTCGGTAAAGGAATTCTGCAATAATATGACGTGGCTTCTCGCTGAGTGCTTGGGGTTTCCCTATACGATGGGCGTTTTCAATATCTATACCAGGCATTTTTAATTCATTGGCAATAAGATCCTTAATTATATTTATAGCGTCTTCCTTGGATATGTTAATTTCTTCGTCAAGTGTCTTTTTCAGGGTCGATAGCGCGCTATTACATAAGAATATACTAGAAATGTATACATTATTCAGTCTAAATTTTAGTGCTATTTTGTGTAATTCTATTATTAACAATGTGTTTTAATTTATTAAAAGCACAAATGGCCATGTTTCTGTTATTAATGTCTAGCTTGGTGCTGCCCAGGTATTTGTACAATTTCAACATGGCATCTACATCTCTTGCCAGTATATATTTGAGAGTTTGATACATTTTGTTTAAGTCATCTTTTAATTTTTCTGTCTTCAATTTACTATTCTATTTGTTATTTCTCTCCGTTTCAGGTTTATTGTGTATTAGTATCATGATTTAATATGGTATGATTAAGTGATTATAAACATATACATGAATTATCATTGTCATTATCATTATAAATATTGTTGTTTTGTTGGGGTTTTTTTTTTGTTATTGTTGTTTTGATGTTATTGCTGTTATTGTTGTTATTGTTATTGTTGCTGCTACTGATGCTGTTGCTGTTGCCGTTGTTGTTATTATTGTTATTTTTATTATTTATTATTATAACTTAACTTAAGACGCTCTCCTGTCTTCTTATTGGACACTGAGGCTTCAAGAATCATCTTTTTCCATGTTTTCCTGTCTTTTGTCATAACTGCTGCATTCTTCCAGCTCTTTTCTTTCTGCTTCAACTGTGCGCCTCCTCGCCGCTGCCGCTGCCGCCACCGCTGCTGCTGATATATATATATATATATATATATATATATAGTGTATATATATATATATATATTGATAAGATGTATGTATTAGTGCCGATTATGGAATATGAATATCACATATAATATTATTATTTCGAATAATATTATATCATAATATAATATATATATATATATAATTATATACAATGCTAATAATATAATAATACATTAATAATATATTTTATTTATTATTCTCTTTATCTATTACTTATTATATTAATAATAGTAATAATAATAATATATTATTATTAGATAGACCTAATTATATACAATATTGTTTTTCTTTATTTATTTTTAGTTTAGTTTTTAGATTGTTTACAAGAAAGGGACTGCCTTCAATTTGCAAAAGCCTCTATGGAAATTATTCTCTTAGAATTACAATTTATTATGTGCGTGCAATGATTATTTTTCATATTTCTCTTTTTCTTTATTATCTATCTGTCATCAGCAATTAAGCCTCCTCAATTGGTATCCATTTCCAGTGTAACTTCATATTCTGTAAGAGTATCATGGATAGCTTCATCCAAGCCAGCCGTAAAAAATTTTCTTGTGGAAAGCATTGGGACATTTGTTGATCTGCAAACGACTGTGGTCAATGTTACAGGTGAGGCTACCTATGTAGTTATAGATGGGCTGACATCGGGGGAACGCTACAATTTCCGTGTAGTGGCCATTTCCAACAGTGGTACAGCTAGCGACTGGAGTAATAATTTACAAGCTGATACGGGTATGTTTAAAATTATATTTCACTCACGATGGTAGAATGTTTAAATAGGTTAACATTTCTAATTACCCTAACTTACTTGTTGTTTTTTTTTCCCACAAAAAAAACCCCAAATAATTATGGTTAATTGTAATAGTATCACTCACTGCCAAAAGCGAGGTTCCATTTCATACGCAAGGGAAAAAAATCATCATTTTTGTTTTATGAAATGGCCACAGTTTACACTTAGCTATATTCCAGCTTTGAACAATGTTTATACAGTATATTACTTTTTCTGCAAGTTATGGTTGAAAAGAATATCCAAATACCGTATAATTATATGATGCTAATTGCCAGACAACACATTATAGCATTTTATTTCACATTCGAAGGAAGTACGTATTCCAGAGTGCCGCTTTTACAAAATTATTTAGTGCTAAAAATGGTGCCAAGTGTTGTACTATGGCGATTATGTAGGAGTAGCTGCACAACACACTATTTGTTTACAAGTTCTGATTACAAGTAAATTGAATATCATTCAGACGCTATTTAGTAGTATTAATAAATATAATATTATTTGTTACACTGTATATCATTTAGCATTGTCATTCTCCAAATGACGATCAATGCATTAAAATCTTTTAGACAAAAAACCAATGGTTGTACCTTAAAAACCATTCTTAAACAAGATACCGAACATGTAATTATTCTATTATTATCATTATTAATCGTATTGGCACTGCCTTTGCCATTGTCATTGTCATTGCCCTTGTCAATTCCTTTGACACTGTCATTGGCATTGTAGAGCAGCTTAGCTCAGTTAGATAAACTGGTAGTAGCTACTGTGTGCACGATGAACCGTGGAGATCTCTAGGTCCCCGAATTAATTTCCATCGTTCTACTCTTTATGTTTCAACTGGAGGTCTGATATACAAGTTACGATAGGGCAACGTCTTTCAGATGAGATTTTTAAGCCGTTGGTCCTCTGTGTATTATGGCACATGTGCACATTAAAAGAACGCAGTACACTATTCTGTAAAAAGTAGGAGTTTATCTTCCAGTGTAGTGCCCCATTACCGTACCATTAAAAGGACTCCACAGCCTTCGTCGATGGAGAGGATACACTGCTTCCATGTCATCGTCTGTTCGCTTACAGGGGTGGCATAGAAACGAAATACAGTTTCTTTGACGAACTGAATTTTAACTTCGTCAAGTTTGGCATGTCCTTGCTTCCCATTCACGTTGCTGCTAGCCATCTCTTCCTTGGTAAATAGCTTCCTCACTAGTCCTAATGCAAAGTTTTTAATAGATGTTGCCCATCTGTGCACCTCAGCGATGATTTCACGAGAGAGGTATTCGTAGTTGACGGAATTGTCTAAGTCTGCATGATGATGGCGCGGTTGCGGTAGCTGCTGCTGAAGTGGACGGGGTTGCTGCTGATGCTGTTCCGGTGGTTGCTGCTGCTGTAGTTGCGCTTGCTGCTGTTGTAGTTGCGTTTGCAAGTCGTCGATTTTCGCGTTCAAAGTAGTTACAGTTCTCTCCATCGTAGCCAAGAATTGATTGAACCATGGGGGAATTTCTCGGTGTTTCGCGTCAATGTGCGCCAACAGTCGATCTATATCACTGATGGAAGCATCACTACGTGCGTCGTCTTCACCACTGTCTATGTTGTAGTCATTGTCCCGTCGAATTGCCGTCGAAGTTGTTCCAGCTGACGCACCACGACAAAACACTTGTGGAGCCTAAAGAAATAAAGTAATTAAAAACACATAAAAAAAATAAAAGGTACTGTAATTTCAAAAATCCCTATAAGAAGGTATTATTTTTAAACGATATTTTAGAATAAACAAATCATTTAACATTGAGCCAATGGTTTAAACGTACTGCAATTATAGTAAGATGATATGCCCTATTACTGAATAAAGATGATCCGCTACCGATCC